GGGGAAATAAAACTGCCAGTCAGCCTGTCTTTCCTAATGCCTCCGCCACCGAATTGCTGTTTCATCCTGAGGGCCGGCTGGAACAATATAAGAGAACTCGGCTGTCGCCTAGATAGCCAATTTAAACGGGGCGCCAAAATTGTGAAAAAAAAAGTTAAAATCGTTTAAAGAAATTTAAAAGATTAAAAAAAAATACAAAGAAAAAAACGAAGATGTACAGTAATTGATTCAATTCACGTGTATTTAAGGAGCGAGTATGAATTATAATTGATTTCTGAGAAGTTAGCAATAAACCAAATATCAACTTCCGAGACTGTGAAATATAAATTTAATTTCCATTGCTTTGTCACCAAGCTTCTTAAAGGTGCTTCGCTTCCTATTTCACTGGCGCCTGTGTTACTGCCATTGAGTGGTGATATCGTTAGTGACTTCAGATTTATAAATCCGGAATGTGACTATTTTCAAGTTTTATTTAAACCATAGGTATTGTTGGGCTGTATAATTCGGACCCTTTCTTTCTTATCTGGATTACGTGTAAGAAATAATAAGGACTTTTCTCAATGAATTGTCGGGACACATTTGATAATATTGTTACGACTTTAGAGGTTGTAAAATTAAAAAAAAAACATGGGAAGAAACGGCATTGTTTAGCTGTGGGAGACAGAAGATCAAAAGAAATCAACTCTAGGTAATCAGAACTGAAGAATAAACGATTTAACACAGAGAAGGACCATAAAAAGACACAGAAGTGGGGTCAGAGAAAAAAGAAGAGATAATTTACTGAAGGAAGCAGAAGCAGTAGGTGAGTGAAGCTTGTTCTGGTCTTGGATTTCGTGATACAGTTTTAAAATAGGTAGATGAGTCACTTTGACTTTTGCCCATCCGTGATTATTGGAACGGAGATTTAACACTGGGTTGGATTCTGTTAATTTCGGACGCGGAGTTTCTTTTTGTTGGCCTGTATAGTCATTATATAGGATTTCAGGTTACAGGGTTAGTATTCTGGGTTTCTGGGTCGGTGGAATGTAGGCCTCTCAGACATCTTGTTTTGTAAATAGCGTAACTTTCATGTTGTATAATGTATTCTTTGGCTGTTATTGTACCTAACTATTCATTAGAAGCATATTCGCTGTGAACTAGGACACGTTTATGATGCCTTGATTGAAATTTTTGATGATACTGGACCTGGACCAAATGAATTCCAACTTCGCAGTCCTTGAAACTGCTGTTTACTCGGTTGCTTAAAGATTTCAAGTACTTGGCTTTCTATATGAAATCCTAGTGCTGGGCGATAATTCGATAACGATAATTATCGCGATATAATTT